GCTTATTCTCATACTTGATATATGCATTTCTTGTTTATTTATTTATTTTCTGCCTACTGCCTCCCTACTAGAATTTAAGCTTCGTGAGAGCATGAATGTTGTTTTCATTTATTGTTGTAACTTCAGCACTTGGAAGAGTATAAAACACATGAAGACAATAAATATTGGAATAAATGAATGAGTGGAGATCTTATTTTATTACAAGAACTCTTAGTGTATAACCTGTCAGTTCACCATTCCCGTAAATGTCACTCTCTTCCAGGGGCAGTGGGAGCAAAGGCAGGTGTCTTACATCCACACTCTAGTTGTTCTCTTAGACTTTGACTCTTGGTGTTCTGTGATCTTTGCTGCACTCCCAGCTCCTCACTGAAGATGGGATGCTGTCCTTTCACACGATCTCCAGCAGAGGGGTGGAAGTGAGGCTCTTCCCACTTCCTGCCATTTTATCATCTCTATTCTTCACTATACCATAACACAAAACAATGTAAGCGCATCAGATTTAAACGAATTTTTGAGGTAAAAATTGCAGTGTAGGCAGGGAAATATTAAAGTTGTACATAAAATATTTCTTTTCCCATCCTTCAGGGGACAAGTGTTTAAGTTGAGCACTTCATAGAAAGTCCCCTATTCCTAACTGTTTAATCCTGTACACGGGGCTGTGCTTGTTTCTTTTGCAAAATGACCACAGAGCAGCCATCCTCCTCTTAGTGTCATCCCTCCCCTGAGGAGTTCATCTCACCCCAGGATCCATCTCCCTTCCTGCATTAGAACATTTCTCGAAGTCTGAGTATAGGATAACACCAGGGGCTTTCAGCAGGACTGTCCACGGTTGTCCCTGGGACTTGAGTTCCTCAAAACATGCCATTGTGGGCACAGGTGTACCATATCCAGTTCCCTTAAGATCTGTCTAAATGTTAATTCTTCAAATTCTGTACTGAATGGTTGTCATTTCAGCATCTCTCTCTTTCTGTCTTTCACATATCTTCCCAAAGACAATCATCTTTTTTTCCTACAAGATGGTATAATCCAAGTCTTTTAAGAGGAAATTAAATATCTACCCCCAAGGTATTAAGACTGGCCTCTCTCACAGTAGAGTTAGTGCATTATTATAAAGACTATATTAGCTCCTTTTCTTCATACCTTGACAGTTTATTTTTTTCTTTCAGTACTTTAAAGATGTTGGTCCATTGTCTTCTGGCCTTCATGGTTTCTGATGAGAAGTCTATAACCATTTTAATGATGTTTTGCTTTATTTATTGTCTTTTTTTCTCTGACTGCTTTTAAGATTTTTTCTTTGTCACTGTTTTTTAGCAGTTTGATTATGATTTGCCTTGGCGTGGTTTTCTTTGTGTTTCTTCTGCTTGGGGTCCATTGAGCTTCTTGGATCTGTAAGTTATAGTTTTCACAAATTTGAAAATGTTTCACCTATTATTTCTTCAAATATTTTTCCTGCCCACCTATCTGCATCTCCAAATTACATGTATGTTAGACTGCTTGATATATTTCATAGACCACTGATACTCTGTTTACTTCTTATCTCTGTGTTTTTAATCTATGTACTTCATTTTGTATATTTTCCGTTGTTAAGTCCCATGGTCTTTTCTTTTGCAGTGTTTTATCTTCTATTAATCCAATCCAGTATATATATGTATATATATATATATATATATATATATATATATATACATATATATATAGCCAATCTTCCTCTACTTTATATGTGGGTCACCGTCACAGCGTGGCTGAGGAATGGTGTAGGTCCACACCTGGGATCTGAACCCGGAAACCCGGGCCACCAAAGCAGAACACACCAAACTTAACCACGATCCCACGGGGCCTGCCCCAATCCAGTATATTTTCATTTAAGATATTGTGTTTCTTGTTGCCAGAAGTTCAACTTGATATATTTTATATCTTCCTTTTCTTTCTTCATCATGCTTCTACCTTTTTGAACATGTGGAGTATATTTAATTAGCTGTTTCCAATTGCTGTCATTTCTGGGTCTGTTTCTTTTGAATGATTTTTCTCTTGCTTATGTGTCATATTTTCCTGTTTCTTCTAGGCCTGGTAATTTTTGAACAGATGTAAGATATGAATTTTAAGTGTCACAGATACTAGATTTATTGTATTCCTTTAGTTTTAGGCTTTACTATGGCATGTAGTTAGTTGCTAAGAAAAACAAGTTTTCAAAATCGGTTGTTAAGCTTTGTTAAGGTAAATCCAGAGTGGCATTTAGTTTAAGATAATATAATCCCCCTACTAAGGCAATACTTTTTTAGGGACTCTACTCAATGGTCCATGTGTTCTAAGATCTTTCCACTCTTGCTTGTGGAACACAGACTTCCACGTCTGTGTAACCTCTAGGCATTATTCACCTTATTGCTCTCTGGCTTTCTTTTCCTCCTTCCTTCTCCAGGGTCAGTAGTTTCCTCTCACATATACAGAGGTCACTATTCAGTCAAATACTCAAGGAGACCCCTGGAGCACTCTTGCTCTCTCTGTGAAACTCCCTCCTCTCTGATATTCTTCCCTGCAAGTTCTAGTCTCCTTAACTTGCCTGAACACTGATCTGTCTCCGTAATTCAGTGTGACTGTCAGGTCTGTGTGGGCTTCCCCTCCTTGCACTGTGGCCTGGAAACTGCCACAGGCAGTAAGCTGGGGAGCATAGGGCTCACCTCACTTCTTTCCTTTCTCTTGGGGATTTTCATTTTGCACTGAGGATCTTGTCCAGTTTTTGAGTTATTTAAGGCAAGAGGATAGCATTGATTTCTGTTACTTCATCATGGCCAAAAGTCTAAGTTTTACTTTGTTAGACATTTGACAAAACTTAGTTGTGAGAAATTCTGAACCTGCACACAAATTAGCAAAATTTCTTTTTCTTGGAATCACTGCTTAATTTTATCTGAATCAGTAAAGATTGGGTGTTTTCTATTTTTTAGACATTGATACTCTGTTGAAATAAATCGTCTTTAGCATTACAAGTAAGTAGAGTTAAATTTGCATCATAAATATTCATAAAGAATTGATGTGGTGTCTAAGCAAGTTATAACATTACCTAGAGTGCTCTGGATTTCATTTGAAATAAAATATAGTCAAGATGTTTCAAGTACCAGTGGGAAATAAATCTAATTATCTGATATGAGTTTCAGATTATTCATATTCATTCTTTACTCATTCAATCAGCAAACATTGAGGATTCAAAGATAAATAAGGCATAGCTCCTGCTTTTTGTAAGATTATAGTCTATAAGAGGAGACACTTATGCAAATGATTAACTTTAATATAGTAGGAGTGTAGGATAAAGACGTTTGTTAAGGGATGTGTAAAGTGCCATAGAAATACAGAGAAGACTGGAAGGGGCAGGAAATTGAATCTACTTTATGGGAGGCATCACCTTCCATCATCTGTTCTCTTATTCCGTTAACATTATTAGGCACCAGTAGTGTGCTATGCACTGTGCTAGGTCCAACAGTACAATTCCTCCTCTAGAGGAAAGATGGCTAATATGCAATTGCAATTCAGTGCCATCGATGCTGTGGCTGAGATGTGTACAGGGAGCTGCAGAAGTGGGGAGGAAGGGCACCTCAGCCCAGAAGCAAGGGATCAGGGACTGCCTCCAGAGGAGACTGAGCCTCAGACAGGGAAAGGGCTTGCAACAGAGCTCATCACCATTCAGGGAACGTCAGGTGTGTACATTGTGGCAAGAGCATGGGTGTCAAGGCAGAGCTATGGAGGAGGAGAGGTTGGGGAGATTGGTAAGGGGCGGATCTTCAAGGGCTGGCTGTGCTCTCCTATCGCATTTGGAAGGGAAGCTTTGACAAATTGTGCGTTTGTGTAAAATGAGGAAACAGTGATAGATTTATGTTTTAGAAAGTTCACTACAGCGGTACAGTGAAGAATAGAGTAGAAGGAAGTGAAGCTGGAAGCAGAGAGACCAATCTGGAAGCTGAGCTGATTCAGTAATCCAGACAGTAAATGAAGAACTACACTGAGAGAGAGGTGGAGGGACTGGAAATAAGGGGATAAGCAGAGGGATTGGGAAGTAGTTAAAAGACCAACAAAAGGACTTGGTGCCTAACTGGATGTGGAGGGTGACGGAGAGGACTGAGTCTACGATGACTTCCAGTTTTCTGACCTGTTGAACTAAGTGCGTTCAGTAAGAGCTATGACCCCTAAAAGGGTTTGCCTACACTGAGGAGAGCTCAAAACAACCCACTGGGATGCAAGAAAACATAACAGAATTCCATTTCCATTTTCTTAGTTTCTATTTGTCTGTGTCTTACAAAGTAGACAATAAACTAGTGCAGTAGTATGTGTGTACAATTTACAAATAAATGACTATCAATATATCATAGAGTATGCTCAGATGTCTTATTATTGGGGGTATGATCAAAAAACGTGGAGACATCTGAGTGAAGGATTACAAAAGGAAGAACAAATATGGTACTTATGCGGAATTTGAGGCGCCTGTAGAACATTTAGACAGTGATTTCCAGGAGGCGATAAACATCTAGATCAGACAAGACTTCCCAGAACTTTTCTGTGATCATGGAAATGTTCTAAACATGTACTGTCCAATATGGTAACCAATAGCCACATATGGCTATTGAGCACTTGAAGTATGGTTAATACAACTGAGGAATGGAAATTTTTCGCTTTGTTTAACTTTATGTAAATTTGAATAGCCACATGTAGCTAATGGCTACCGTGTTAGAAAGAGCAGATCTGAAACAGGAGAGATGCCCTGGCTCTCATTTATCGAGTGCTTCTACTGGCTAAGCATTTTACATACATTTTTAAGCAATTTAATCACCCCAACTACCCCATGGAGTAGTATTATAAAATAAAAGAATAAGTTCTTTATTCTTTTCATAGTAAAAGTTTACGTTACAAAGAAGACCATATTTGCTTTGAAATGTGTGTACTTTGTAGATACTCTCTATTGGGAGATATTTATGCATCTTTGACAACCAAGTAAGAATTTTGTATTTTTCTTTCAGGTGGTTTGCTCTGTTAGAGATTCAAATATGTGTTATTTTAATATTTTATTATTATGACTGCAGTCTTCTAGACCCACTGCCAAAACACGTAAGTGTTTTCAGAATTTTGAATAGTGTGACTTTCAAATTTGATATAAACTCTAACCCCTTGGTCTTAATCACTAGGGATGAGCTGGCTGTTTTCTTCACTTAGGCCTGATCTTAACAGATGCCTTGCATTGAACCAGATTGAGAAGATAGTCCCTTAATTCCGGATCTAATCTGTGTGCCCCAATACCATAAGACCAGAACCCAAGAGCAGTGTTTCCACCACTTAGTATTAGGAGCTCCTCAATGAATTTACCAATTTTGACCCTTTTCCGTGAGTCAAATAAACATGGCCTTGATGTTGACCTGTTCTCCTTAGAAAGGCATGTCTGTGGGTCCGAAAGTGAACCATCAGTATTGGAGGCAAGTCATAGCCCTTGCTCCGTTTGGAAAGCAACGGCATGGAAGAAAACTAAGCCAACAGTGCAAACAGTGAACAACAATGAAAAGGCCATGACCTTTTCCCGTCTCTGACCATTCAATATTCTACTCATTTAACTCCTCTGGGTTTCCGTAGATCTGTTCCCCTAGACCAGTGGCTCTCAAACTGATGGGAGCATGGAATGACCTGGGGGGGCTTGTTAGAACACGGAATTCTGGGCCCCACCCCTAGGGTTCCGGATCCAGGAGCCCTGGGGAGGGGCTCAAGAATTTGCACTTCTCACAAGTGTCGGGTGCTGCTGGTGCTCCTCCTCTGGGATGCCACTGTCCAAGGAAATAGGGAAAGTTCAATGTAATTCCAAGTGCTTGGAAGTTATTTTGAAAACTCTGGATATAAAGTGCTATTTAAACTGAGGGTAAAGCTCAGAAATTAAGCATTGTAATCTCAGGGCTATTGACAGCGTGTTGTGCTTTGAGTTACTCTAGATATAATAAGGCTATGGAGGGATAAATAACACTCTTGGGTGACATTTCACTAGAAATTGTAAGTGCGTAAGTGACACAGATGATATTATATTACTCACAAATATGCACACTTCAGCACTTTCCCTTGATTTATTTTGCACTCCTGTTTTGAGTATAAGTAACTATCAGTGATGAAGAGCCCTAAAAATCCTCCAGTGAAAGGGAATCAAAATGCCCTTCACAAAGGTTTGGAGCAAGTATAGCTTTGTTGTCAAACTGAAGATCCAGGCCAGGCTTTCACTCACCAAATACCAGTTCCTGGTCCACTGAGTTAGATGTCACAATTTTGCCTAGAACTGACTCAGCATCCAACTATTTTCCCACCAACAAGAGGACACAGGGGTGCCTTTTCAGATTAGGATGGCATTTGTCAAAACCATGTAATGCCTAACCCTAGACATCAGCAATTTTAATCAGTTCCTTGGGCAAGGTTTTGCCCAGCACTTTCTTCCTAGCTAAGAATTCCATTAGTTGTACTTATTATACTGTTCTATATACATCCTATTTCTGTTTTGACACTACTAAGAACATATTTTAAAGAAATGTTATCTCAGTTTGTAAAAAGTACAGCTCTAAGTGAATTCTTCTAATCTCAAAGGGAACTTCACTTCACAATTCTTATTCTAGAAAGAGAAAGATCAATTAAGATTATTTAATTATTGGACTTGTTTTAATAAGTTGTAAAATGAGGTGATCAAAACATGCAGGAAATGACCTTCAAATTACCAAGGTCTTGTAAGAGATGGGAGGGCTGGCTTCAGGGCACATTCTGAGCACTCTTTTGTCAAGAGCAGGGCGATCACTGGGCTTGGAAATCAGCTCCCCCAAAGGAATATACCTGTCATAGTAGTGTAAATCAAATGCCAGAATCTCCAATTTCAATTTTGCAACAGCCCAGTGTTTTATTTTACCTCAAATGGTCTTAATAAATTAATTTAATTTCAATTCTCTCCCATTAAGAACCAAACAATAAAGAAATATACAAAGCTCCCCAGGATCCAGGATTGGGCAGCAGTGTCCAGCTGCTGGCGATGGAGTATTCCGTTGTGAACATTCTTAAGACTACCAACTTCAGTTACCTTGCAAAAGCAAGCCCATTTTTGCTAACACACTGGGGTTTTGTTTGGTTGGTTGGTTCATTTTTTTCTGTTTTGTCTTTTAGGGAATCATGGGTCCTTAGACAATCTCACAAAACCTGTGAATCTCCTTTCTAGAAAAGTACATATCTCTTCATACACTCATAGCTGTACAATTGTGGAATGCAATTTCAGGGAGTCCTGGAAACCCTGCACCTCATTTTACCAACTCCTCTAAGAATCTCTTTGCTAAGGAGCCCATTCTGTGCCCTGTTGCATTCAAACTTGACAACAGACTGATGATCTAGATTGTACCGACAGCCTCTTTCCTTACCCCTCATCTTCCCCCAACCCTCAAGGTTGACAGCACAGTTGCTTTTCTTTTTCAGGCTCCTAAGCCTCAGTGATCCCTATGTATTATTTTCAATAAACTGACTTCCCTTCAACCCCGCACACATTCATCCCTTGCTTATAACTAGGACATATCAGAACATACCAGAATATTTGGAACCCATAAAATATCCTTCTGGAAATTTATTATCTTAGGTACACTGTAATAGTGGCTCACACCTCCAACGCCATGTTGCTTTTTAAACATCTATGGCATGTGGCATAGAGGTCTCATCCAGTGATTACAAGTGAGGTGTCATAGCTTTGGGGACAGAAATATAGAAGAGCCTTATTTGTGGTATCCTCTTTAGTCAGACAAAGTGAAGAGTGGTTGGCAGGCCTGTAGCCATGGGGCATGTGAAACTGTGAAGAGATTGCTATTAAAATAAGAGATGTGCCTCCTGTTCTGTTCCTTGAATGGAAGGCTAGAACTGATGCTTGACAATGGGAGATGCATCAAGCAAACACTTCCAGTCTTTCAAACCTAAACTCTGTACCTTTTTGAGATATTACAATTGAATAAACCTTAGGTCTAAAACTGTTGGCTTATGTCTGTTAATTTCTATGTTTCTTCTGCATTTCTGCTTTTAGAGTCCTCTCCATTTGGTGGGTGTCCAGCAGCCAGAAGGACAATGCCGAATTGAATTTAAACGAAGAAAATGACATCTGCTGGGCCTAAGGAGGGCCAGGCCTTGTGGAGGAGTGACTGCCCCCAACCACCAGCTTGGCAGCATTTAGATCTGAGCTCTGCTAAAACACACTGCCTAACTTTGTTTTAGGATTTAGTTCAAGAAAACGTCCAAATGTTGTGTTTGTTATCTCAAGAGTAGACCAAGAATCTGACATCACTCTCACTGATGTAAAGACCCAAATACATGGTTTATAGAAAATGTTTAAATGAATTTAAAAAATGAGGCATTTCTTAAGAAGTTGGAATTTGGCTTCATGCATAACTGTACTAAAACTTTAAATAGAAATATGTCATTTGAATGAAAATCTTAGTACAGTAAATTCGCTGTGAAGACAACATAATTAAATTTCTATTTTGAAAAAGACTGAAAGTCTTAGACTCTAAAGAAATATTAAGTAATGATTTCTGGAAAATTTCTATTTTTTTAATATGATTCTTAACTAGTAGTTGGAATTCTTAAGCTCTATTAATATAATTCTTTATTGTAAACATTTCTAATGCTAAAAGTCTGAATAAAATGAGAGCTTTCGGGGCTGGCCCCGTGGCCAAGTGGTTAAGTTCACGCGCTCCGCTGCAGGCGGCCCAGTGTTTCGTTGGTTCGAATCCTGGGTGCGGACATGGCACTGCTCATCAGACCACGCTGAGGCAGCGTCCCACATGCCACAACTGGAAGGACCCACAACGAAGAATATACAACTATGCACTGGGGGGCTTTGGGGAAAAAAAGGAAAAAAAAAAAAAATGAGGGCTTCCTAGGACCTGTGCAGACAGGGAGCAGTTCTTACAGTTATTTCTACATTCAACTACGCCTAGGACAGCGCCTTCTCTATAAGGTATGTCAACCCAAATAATCCATAAAGAATCTATAAATCAAAATTGGGGTGAGTTTATTATGAGCCAACTCCGAGGACCATATAGCCTGGGAGAGTCCTTCCACAAAGGAATGGAGCACTCCAAAGAAGTGGGGGTGTGCAGAGTGGTTCTATAGCATCAAAGAGCATGTATCACATATGATTGGAATGTCCCTTTTACAATAGTCATTAGATTGCTTTGCTGGCAGAGCAATTCAGTGAACACAGAGGGTCAGTGTTCGCAAGGTGGGTGGTCGCAAGGTGAGCTCAGCAGGTCAGCAATCAATCCTTAGTTTAGGGGGAGATGCTTATCCTTAAGGAAATGCCAATGTAGGGGAAGTTACATCCTTATCTTTAGGGGCATTATTCTTGTCTTTGGAACGTAGTAAATACTTAAAGCAGATATACAATGCATGCTCAACAGCCACGTCAGGCCCTTTTGGAAACAACAAGTTCAGGCCAAATTAGTTTTACACCAAATGGCTTCATCATATATTCTAATATCCTATTGCTTGTCATTTGTTTATCATAGGTTCAATACATGTATGATGATTGATGTATTGATTTGTAGTTTAGTTAAAATGAAAGCGCTCTTTGACTCAAGGTGTTTGTAATCCTAGTTTAGGAGATAATATTTTTGTGAATGTATAGAAACAAATAAAATGATGTGTCAAGGCAAATGACAACATTTGAATATATTACTTAAGATTTATGCCTGAAATATTTACTCTGAAATCCAGAAAAGAAATCCTGTGGTGTTCAGGGGAAACATATGACACTATTAACAGAGTCATCAGTGATGTCATGATTTGTCCTCTAATATTTAGTAAAATGCTGCTTGCCTCCTTTATTTCACAATAAGTAAGCTTGGTAGTACATGTTGTCCTCTGGATTATTTGCTCTCTTGTGCTAGAATTATCCCATGGGGTAGGTAATGATTGCTTAGTCATCTATTTCCTACCAATGAGCAGATGACTCCCTAGGAGACAATTAAGTACTTTAGAGTGCATTAGCTCTGCCAGACTAATAGAGTGATTTTGAAGCTTGGCTAGTAGCTTGTAGCTCAGCTTAGCAGGCTGAGGGGTCTGGAGACTGAAGGGACTAAGAAAGCAGTTTAGAAGTCTACAGCAGACCTGAGAGTTGCAGACCATAACCTGGCAGGTTCTGCTAAATCTGGCAGGTGTGTTCTCAGGTAAGGCGTGTCCTTCCAAACAGCTGAGGCCGGCAATGAAACACTGTATTTGCATATAATGTTCCTTTCAGCTGAATTTGCAGCCACTCAGAGCTAGTGTTTATTTACTTCTTCTTGCTTGATGAGGATGAATATTAGCTGACAAGTTTATGCACTTTAAAAAAGAATGCAGACTCAGGGGATATGACCTTTGAAATAATGAGTGGTAAGAGGAATATTCTTGGAGGTCCCATATTTTTATTTCCCTAGCCTGGGATTTTATTTTATGTATCTATCTATCTATCTATCTATCTATCTATATGTGTTAACTTGCGTTTTCCAGAAAGCAGAGCCTGAGACAAGGGCTTGTGTGCAGTGCAGATAGTTTATTTGGGAGGTGCTCTCAGGCAGCAGAAATAATGGATGAGGGTCAACGTGCCAATATTAGAGTTATGTTTTCAAGGTAGGTGTTGGAGCAGTGGGGGCTTGATTTTTCTGGGACCACCTGAGAAGCATATGCACCACCTCCCAGAATTGTCCACCATAAGAGGTGGGAGCAGTTACCAGCTGGCTCCTGTTCTCGTTGATTAATGATTACCCCCGAGGACGTTAACCCTGCACTTCCCAGCTGCATTTGTGCAGGGGCCCAGCAGGTGTCCATAGCGTCAGAGAAGCTCTAGATGAGTCTGAGCTTGCATAGAATTGTTCCCTGCAGCTGAAATGAGAGTTGAGCTGAGAGGATGTGATGTGGGGGCACCAGAGACATCGGATACACTCCGCTGCTCGCACCATTCAGGCCTGCTCCTGCTCCACGTTAATTCAGATCCGTCACCAAGTCTTCAAAGTGGTGACTGGCCACAATCTCTACTAAGGATCTAAGACACGACATTAGGAAGCCACAGTCCCCACGGCTGCAACTGGCTCTGAAGCCATTTTGAATATTGGTCTCACTCCACACCCATTCTCAATTTCTCTCACCTTGAGGCAGCCCTTAAACTGATCTCAGTTGCTTGCCTGCTGAAATGAACCAGACCTCCTCCCTGAGGGATCTGAGCCCTAAGTAGCCTTGCTTTTTTCAAGCTGTGATTACTGCAATTTCCCATTCACATTATTACAGACACAAAAGCACCGAGAGGTACCGGAGTGAATCCTCTTAGTTTCAGAATACCTCTCTGTCTTTCCGTTGTGTACCAGCAACCTGACCTCCGGATGATAACCAGGGGCAGTTTCTCCACCAGAGTAGTAACTCCCTTCTCTGACTACTGACCTAGCAGCATGAAGAGCTGGTGGTAGTTGTAGCTTCAGGTTCAGTGGAAACCTTTCTGTGTCACTTGGGGGAATCATCCCCTGCTCCCGTGGGAACCAGGGCCTCTAATCCAGCAGAGCCTAAGATTTCACATAAAGGAAGCACATATTTTCAAGTGGTTCTCTGCAAGTAATTGTGAAAAAGGTCAATCATATTTCAACCTCTGTGTTCCCAGATCTGTGTATTCCAGGTACTGGGGACAGTGTTGGCCATTGGATTAAATGCACTGGATGCATAATGCATCCTGGAGAACAGAATTCCAACCCCATAGATATCATCCCTAAGAGAGAACCTCAGTTGCTTCCAAAGGATATGATTGTATCAATGGATCTCATCTTCTTGGCCCATTGTTGAACTTCTTTTGCCTCAGAACTCCTGTGTTCTAAGATGTTATGAAAGATTCCACGCTGGTGTGGCAGGCATTTTGTAAAACCACTGATGGTGCTGCTGTTGTGTATGGCCTACAATTAAGACCCAATATCATGTGCTGTCTTGACATCTGAAACTGGGAGGGCCTTAAATGGTCTAACCACCAGCTCCCCTCCCCACTCTGCTCCCGTGGATAAGGTCCCCCAGCCAAACAATCTTCCCTAGTAGGGGAACCAGGCACAGTTTCTGCTTGTTCCTCAGGAGCACGTCTCAGTTCTCTGCCAGCCCCTGGGATTATTCAAACAAGCTAATCGCATCCTCCAGTGGGAGCCGAGGGTCACTGTATCCTCTTGATATTACAAAGCCTGCCTCCCACAGCCCCTGCTTGTTTACTCCATTCCTGAGTGAAACTCCCATGTGGCCCTGGGTGACATGTGATGTCCTCCTCCCCAAAGCTGTGAGCCTATATGACTAATGAACTGCTGTTTAGCGCATCTGTCCGGAGTCAGGTGTAGTGAATTCGGCCATCCTCATAACTATAAGGTGCGGTTCCCTCCCTCATCTATGGGGTGAACAGGAGGTGATTCAGACAGCTGTTGACAGCAGCACTGAAGGCAGTGAAAGCAAGCATACATCAGAAGGAGCTGTCAACTCCAGGAAGGATAAATTGCTGCCCTCTCCAGGGTAGAAGAGTTCCAAGTGGCTGGCTCTCGCCTTTAGCGATGGTACGTTAAGAGCTCAGTATTGCTGTTTGCTCCTGGCAGGTCAGGCATTCAGCGGTGGCAGTGGCTGTATCAGGTTTGGTGAGAGTGGAGCCTCCATCTTGTCAACCATAGACTCAGCATTCATGGATCCACTGAGCAAGGAGTAGAGTGGTGGAGGAGAGAGGCAGGCTGACAATATAGGATGAGTCATCCCATCCTCCTCGTTGTTGAGAGCATTCTTTGCAGTGGGTGATCTCTGCTGGACATTAATATGAGAGAGAAAGCTCCACACACTTGGTGCTCACTCCCGTAGGTCCTTCCACATCTTTGTCTCTGATCTTCCAAATGTATTCCCCTCAGGAATAAGCCATTGCCCAAGAGTCTATGTATATTCTTACTTCAGACTATTTCTCCCTCCACACAAAGGAGATGGCTAAGAGTACTTCTCAAAACTCTGCCCAGTGGGAGAATTTCCCCTCAGCACTGTCCATTAGGGACACCCCTGAATGTGGGTGAGTGGAGTAGAAGTCCATTTTCAGCATGCTCCAACTTATAAAGCCAACTTATATGTCAACCAGGCCCAAAACTTTTCTCCTCTGTCAGCTAATCATACCCAATAGGCCAAAGGTGTGAATTGAGAGAAATCTGTCAGTATAACAGCAGTAAGTGATGATCTATTTGTGTAACTTACTTCTGGACTTGCTCAGACCTGATCCCAAATGTATCATTCATTGTATAATGGATTGCTGCTGTGCCCACCTGATATTATACTTGGTGAATCTAACAATACCCAGCTTGTGATGGGCAGCTCTGGTCAAATAGTCACTTGGCATGTCTCGGCATTGGCGGCTTTGTAACATGTCAGGAGCTGCTTTTCAAATGATGCATAGTTTTCAGGTGTAGAAGGCATGACCTTGCCCTAGGATTCTAGGGATCTATCCATCCCTTCAGAGGTCCATCACCCCTGGTCGTGGTAGTGCTTGAAGTGGAATCAGAGCTTGAAGATGCCACTGGTGAGCGGACCGTGGAAGCTGTGGCAGAGGGAGTACTCCTGCTTGCAGCTGATGAACTTAAAGGCATGTCTTTGTAGGGTGGACCTGCATGGAGGCACACGATGGCAAAATCCTTGCTGTTTGGACAGAC